CTTGCAAAAAATAAATTTTGTTTCTTTTTATATTATGCATACTGTTTTCTTTTTTTCTTTACTATAAGTGTAAATTAAGAAATAAAAGCCTTTTTTATTTTTATTTTATTTATTTAAGCGGTATTTTTTGGTCACACCATCTGCCCAAGAATACTACGATAAGACCTTAGGATAAGACCTTTTTTAGGATCGACAATGGAAAGTTGAATGTAATGTTTTATATTAAATGAATATCCCCATAAATTTTAATGCCGGGTCATTACTTAATTTTAGATAGCTTAACAAGAATCGAGAAGATACAATTTGTGCGTATGAGTGATTATTGTAAATTTTTTTAAATAATATTTGAAACGTCTCTGATAATGCTAACAAAACCATCCCATTGGGGAAAGTACAAGCGTTGTAATACCAAGACAACATTCTAACAAAATTAGGCACAGAACGACCAAACAACAGAATAAACAATCTAGAAAAACAAGACAAAAAATCACTCACACATACAACTAAAGCTAACCTTTCTAAATGTCTTATAAATTATTTAAGACACACACATGTACTATTGACTTGTATACACGGCTACACATCGAGCTTTACATAACCAGTATAAACTGAACGTTAAATGTGCGGAAAGGTGATGCGACGCGACACCAGGATAAACTGGTTTTGTATAGATTAATGTGTGGCCGGTTGTTCACTAGTACCTTTATAAACAAATTATTTTACGGATGAAGAAATATCAACGTTAAAAGTTAGGTTACGTCTAGACGAGTGTGGCCTAAATGAGGGTCTATGACCATAAATAATTATGCCTCAATGCCGGAGAGTGCGTGACAAAAAACGACCAGGTATTACCTATACTTAACAAGCTGTATTGTGGTCGAATAATGGTGATTGGTTTTTTATTATTGGTGATAGCCAGTTGGCGGCCTCCCTGGTATTAAATGTGGCTGAGGTTATGGTTGGAGATATGCATCTTTTTCGTGTTAAGTAAAAAACTTTGCAATGAGTAAACTTTTACCAGGTACTTACACCTTTTTTTTAAACGGTATGTACAGGAATCTGGATACTAACTAGAGGTATATTGTTTATATACTACACTTAAAAATTCAAATTTAACCCGCTCTTTTTTTAAAGTCGGCTAATGTATATACTAAACCCTTCTCTTAAGGGTAAACAAACACTTTTTTGAAAAGCACATCTGAATCGGTTCAGCCAACCGCGAGATAATCACGCACAAACATACATACAGGTCAAATTGAAAACCTCCTTATTTAAATCGGTTAAAAAGTATATAAATGGTGTAGAAAACTAAACATTTAGCGATTTATTTTTATATTATAGAAAGGAAAAACTATATATATAACATCACGCCTTTTATCCCCGAAATGCCACTGTAAGTACAATGTAGCACCCACTTTTCACTATATATGTTATTATTTCCATGTAATAGGGGATGAGCCTATTGCTATATACCGGGCACATTCCCAGACTTCATGCTTGTACTGAGAATATTTAAAAACCCAGTAGTACTTTGCTTGGCCCGGGAATCGAACCCAAGACCGCTTGCCCGGCAGTCGCACTTGCGACCAACGAGGCAGTTAGTAAATAAAAACAATTTTGTTATATTACAGTGTGAATGTATTTTCACTGTCAATGACACTATTGACCTTATTATATAAGTAAAACTATTTTATATCTTTCTGAAATACCAGGTGTGATTCCAAGTTTAAGAAGTCTCCTTGGAATGTCATCAAAGACAATCGTAATTTTATGCAAACAGTTGTTGAAATACATAAAGTAAAAAATCCAAAAAACAAAGTTATTACACTGATATAATTTAAAATGTCCTAGGACGGTTTAATGTCAACAAATTAGTAGAATGACATTAATATTTGATTTTCATGGCGACATGACATATGTCAATAAGGTTTACTAAGTAGTATCTGAATTTATGGCTATCATTTTGATAAATATTGCCTGTCTCGTTGGCCGAGTGGTCGCAAGTGCGACTGCCGGGCAAGGGGTCTCGGGTTCGATTCCCGGGTCGGGCTAAATAATACTACTCGATTTAAAAAAAAATCTTAGTAGTAGCAAGGAGCCTGGAATTGTGCCCGGTTTATGGCAATAGACTCACCCCCTATTACATGGGACTCATATCATAAATAGTGAAAAGTGGGTGTTACATTGTACAGTGGTATAATGTGCACCTTTGCCTACCCCGTTGAGGATAAAAGGCGTGATGTTATGTTATTTTATGTCATTTTGATAAAAATTCGCTTTGTAATGAAAATTATAATGGTGAAAAAATATAGTCTTTACTAAGATATTTAAAACGCATTAAAACTCAAATTTGTTTTTCATTATTGCTGAAAAAAACCTTAAGAAAATATGTTTTTTTTAATTCAGTTTTGTAGAATTTATGGCCATTTTCAATTTTAAGTAACCCTTTACCCGATATAAGCGTATTATACTAGTACTATCATATCTTCACACGACGTTTAAATGTATACCCGTTGATACCCATCCCCTAAATTTGGTCATACAAAAGTATTCTCTAAACATTAGAAATAAGGTCTATAATGTAATGTAATATTAGTGGCAAGCGGTCACCGGTGACCGCTTGGGGATTTATGGGTTAAATAATAACTGAACATTTTGACCAACATCAAAAATCGATACCACTTCAAGATCACAATATTACTCACTAATATGACTATATTACCGACTGACGTGAGATTTGCTATAATAAACATCACTAGTCAAAAACCAAAAAATACTAAAAAAAGTTTAGATAAAATCATCTTCGATACAACTATCTCCATACTCCAGCTCGGAACAATCACAACAGCAATCAACAGCTTAGAATATAGACTACACTCATTTTCATACTCAGCCACTTTGTCACGTGCGCTGTTCCATATAACACCTCCCATATTCAGCAACACTCCTGAATAAGCACATTCTCAATTTTCACTGAGCTTCAACGTAAACTATGTTAGTCTAGAGCTTAGTTGAAGACCACGACATCACCTATCTTCGGCATAGTCTCTGAGAACAATATTTTGTGTTGAATCAATTTTCCGTCTTGTTTGGTCAGGGTTAAGGATTGTTTTACTATGATTGTGTTTGCTTTTGGTCATTTTGAAAGGAGATCTTGTGTGATCACTTCGTGCTTGGCTATGTTCTGCCAAAAATATTCATAAGTTTTTTATCGATTATAATTTTACACATAGCAGCCTAAAATAAAAATAAACCGTACTTTTTTATTTTTAATACAAGTTCTAAAACTATTGTCAGATACCAATGAGTGTGTTTTATAAAACTGAACCTAAAACTGTTAGAGGTAAAAGATAAAATAAGATTGTTAAGCAAACACTGTCTAGGAAAAAGTCTTAAAGAAAAACACAAAAGGAATCTGTGGAGCCACTCATGCAGAAAAACGAGGACTCCTTAGATATCTATACAATAGATTTAAAAGAGAGTATTTCTGATGTACAGAATATTATTAAATAGGAATTGTACGAATTTGCTGGGTGTGAAATTGATTTCACAGTCTACAAAACAATATGAAGAAAGATAATTTACGTGTAAGTACTACCTACTAATTTAATTAATAATTAACTTTTTTTTAATGGGACAAGCACGCCACCACCTACCGAAATCGCTGCAACTTCTGTAAGCCAGGAGTAGATCCTGGCTTACAGGAGTTTCTACTGTAGAGTAGAAACAACCATGAAAGCATTGGAACACTGAAGTCCGGCGCATCGCAGGGACATGAATAACTGTCTTGTTCCCGCAACGAAGTGAATCGGAAGATATTATAAAAGGAGAAGAAAAAAATATAATAATTAACTTGTGAATAAGTATTGGAGCTATTGGTTTCAAAATTGCAGATGTTAATGTAGATACGGCAAATTCTAATGTGACTCATAAGTTGACCCCCTGAGGCGTCCTACACGTTAACAATGATAAAGATTAGACACGACTTATGATGTAATGCTAAAGTTGTCTATCTGAATACTGTAAGTTGAGATAGCAAAACTATCTTACAAATTACAATTACCTAGAATGAAGACATTATTAGCAGTAAGGGGGAGAACCATGATTTTTGAAATTGTCATATAAACCATATTTTTATTAGTAGTAGCCACAGTAGCCGATTGTACGTATTTTAACTAAACCATTCATTTGTAAAAGTCTTTGTCAAAAGGTCTTTACATTTTTAAATGTCATTCGTACATAATACAGTTGACCTTTGGATAAAATACAAATCTGTACCCAATAAATTACTCTAAAACGTCGCTTCGGGTTCTCACCGGAAGTTTTATTCAAATGACGGAATTTATTTCTTTAGTATCTAATGTTTGCTACAAAAATCATTAAAACACAATACAAGTAGCTAGCCAGTCATTAAAGTGTTCTTGCGACCTCGGCTCTGCAGTGACACAAAAAAAAAATAAACAAATGAACGTAAAAAATGGCACACACGATTGATTTGTGTAAAAAATATGTTTTGTGCCGTATCAACATGTCGATCGATTAAATATATAATTTAGATTAATGTTATAAAAAATCTATTACCTTTATAATTGATACGACATGATACTAGATTTTTATTTTATTTATCTGTTACAAAAAATCAATTAATTAAAATTTGATACATAATTGTTAATTAACTTTTAATTTAAACATGTCTATCTATTAAAATATACATGTTACACCAGTAAATTAATAATGTACGTCCAGAATATTTGAGTATAGGTCCTATGTTTGAAAATGATTTGAGGACATTAGATTTATTTCCAGTACACACGAAATCAAAATATTTGCGTAAATACTTTTGAATAGTTTGAATAAATTCAGTGCGTGATGATTAAAATCACTAATCAGTCTAATTCCGTTCCTAATTTAATAGCCGCAGAATCCACATTAAATTGGTAATTTCAAATTTTCCGTCTATTCCTAATTAGAACCAGATAATGATAACACGTATAACTTACTTGAAATAAACTTCAGAATCCGACAGTATTAAGTAACAACCATTCACGACTACACCTGTACATCCATTCACAAAAACCAACAAAAAACTGTTGACACAATCCACTCAGTAATTCTCAATTATCACTGAACACACTCAAAATATATTCCCAAAAACACAGTTTTGAAACTAGTCAAAAATCCAACTAGAAGGAAATATTGCGACGAAATTTTTCTTTTGTCGCGAAAATTCGGTTTTCGTCGAGCGATACGTTCGGAGCGGGGAGCGTCACGACGTCGTTCGTCGTCGGCTGCCCGATGGGAACTGAGATCCGTAACGATACCTGCAGCGACACGCACACAAATGCATTCCACGCATACACAAAAGCGCCAGAACTTGCGCTTTAAAGCCCGACTCCACGTGCCTCTACTTTTTTGGTTTCTTTTTTTACTTTTTGGTTTTTTTTCTGGTGACTTTTGGTAGCATCTGTAAATTAGATCTGGGCGTTTTTGTAACACTTCCGTTAAGTGGTTTATGGGGTTTTAATTTTGCGGAAGATGTAGATATTTTCTTTGACAACTCAAGGTGTGGTTGTTTGTTTTTTTTTTTCAAATATGTATTTAGATATGCAGCGCCATCTGATTTTATGTGTATCTATTTGTGTTTTGTTCTCACACAATAGATATGTTATGTAATAGGAATAAATTTTAGGTGCTATGTGTTACCGATGTAGTAATAACATTTAGGTTATATTTCTTACACGATCTACTTCATAAGAACTATTTTTATCCGACTGCTTATCAGTTTTAAATGGTAACAAGAATATAGTACTGAAACAACTCTACTTAACTCGTCGAGTACCGGTTTTGTAGACACAATTATAGAACAATAGGTTGCGGTCACCGGTGACCGCTTGGTGTTTGACAGTTTAAACATTATTAACATAATTAATAGAATTTTCTAACACCAACTTCCATGAAAGTTTTATTCACTGCAGCAGTACTTCTTTTACTTTTTCTCTGACTACCACAATTCTCATGTGGTTTGGTTTCATTCCCGGTCGAACCAAGCTAGTATTGTTGGAAATTTTCAATTTGAAAATTTTCTTTTATACCTAGTACTGAATCTAGAATCTTACCTGATGAGAAGCACGTTAGTTATTTTGGATTTTCAACTACATATACCTATGTAATGTCGCGGAGAACCTAACGGGTGACCGGGGCTCCGGCTCGACGTGCAGGAGAAGGAACGGGGTGGTTTTTAGTCAGTAAGAGTCTGACACTCCCTCCCGCCTCACCCAGGCGGGAGCAGTCATTCGATGATTTTCCCCCCTTAAAAAAAAAATACCTATGTAATATTTATACAGTCTCAACATGTAACACATAACCACATTTTGGGAGTACCATGGAGTTTCTCAGGGCATTCTTAACAAAATTCAGATGTCAGTATCGATTTTAGTGTTTTATGTAGGCGATTTTCTACCCACTACAATTCAAATACATCTTTTGTGAGGATGTTTAAAAAAAATATTCTAGGTATCGGTATTGCCGTATATCGGACATTTTTATAGACTCTGTGCTACAACTGAGAATAAAAAAAAACAGTAATTCTTTGCCCTACCCGGGAATCGAACGCGAGACCCCTTGCCCGGTAGTTGCACTTGCGACCACTCGCCAACGAGGCAATTATAACGAGTTTTTTTTTAAGGGGGGAAAATCATCGAATGACTGCTCCCGCCTGGGTGAGGCGGAAGGGAGTGTCAGACTCTTACTGACTAAAAACCACCCCGTTCGATCTCCTGCACGTCGAGCCGGAGCCCCGGTTACCCGTTAGGTTCTCCGCGACAATTATAACGAGTATCCTTACTAATATTATAAATCGGAAAGTGAGTTTGTTTGTTCCGCTTTCACACCGTAACTACTAAACCGATTGCATTGAATTTTTGCAGATGTAAAGTTAGAAGTCTGGATTAAATAATAGGGTACTTTTTGTCCCGGCAAAGTTTGATATTCTAGAGGGAAAACGAAATTATTGGTATAGATGGCGCTGTGTGTATTGGTATATGTCACATAGGCTACTTTTTATCCTTTTTTGACGCGAGCGAAGCCGCGGGTTAAAGCTAGTTTATTATATTAGTAAGATCTATAACCCACTTTCCCCATTTACATTCCTAACTAAAAACGTTCTCTACCACTTACCTTATCATTTTAACACAAAATAGGTCCTTAAGAATAAGATAAAGATTGTATAAAAACATGAACAATAATAAGGTATACGTTCACCATTATGTACGCACGGTATAAAGGCGACGTCCCACTAATTTGATGTGAGGTAACGTGACGCCCGGGAATATTACAACGTGAGCCTCTTCCCAACAATTATGGACGTAATTTTATATAAAGTAAACAATTTAACATATTTTTCCGATCATTTCTTTTTTCTGTGTTTACTTAACATTTAGATATTTTTTTTATGTTTTTTTTTGTGTTGATTTTTGTTATGTAGCGTGGTTGACAATTAAGGATGAGCATTATAAGTCGTAGGTTCAGGTGATTGTTATAGGTTATCTGAAATTCGGGGGGGAAATCATCCATAGACCTCTCCCGCCTAGGGTGAGGCTGCTTGAAGCCGGAGTCTCAGTAACACGTAAGGTTTTCTGTAGCTCCAGAGACAAAAAATCTGAAAATGGGTCTTACTAAGAATGAATTATCTTAGTAAACATGTGAATATGACCCAATTGTCGACATTGCTTCTCTGCATGATCATACAGTATTATGGTTTTAATGACTTTGACTTTGATTTTGACTGCACGGTTGGTGCGATGGCTGGGCAACCGGCTGCCATGCAAAGTGTCGTGGATTCGATCTCACATGGAACAACACTTTGTGTGATCCACAAATTGTTGTTTCGAGCCTGGGTGTCATTGTGTATGTGAACTTGTATGTTTGTAAACGAACCCACGACACAGGAGAAAATCCTAGTGTGGGGCAACGTTTTTTTAGAAAAGATAAAAGAAAAAGATAATTAGATAAGTAGGTAATACAAAAAAGAAATCTTAACGAAAAAATGTGTTCAAACTCCATAAACACTAAACTTATTACACAAAACACTTACATTGCATTGTCGACTGATTAACCCGAACAACATCCAATATTCAACTTAAATACAATAATACTAATTTTAACAACAAAACTAAATAAATACTAACAACATAAGCCCCATTTAGTGTTGTCCTCGAACGTGCAACACTGCATCATTACATTCACTAAAACAAACATTGGCGACAAACATTATTATAACAGAATGTTTGCCCAATGTTTGTTCAATCGAGTGGACCGTCAGTTACCGACGAGGCTTCCACACTCGACCTACTAAAGAATGCGTTGTATTTATTTTTACTTATATTTTTTTATTCAGCTTTGTGTAATAATATTTCTATTATTGCGTTAAATGAATTATTTGGAATAAAATTTTGTAAACAGTGTTCCATAGAAAAGTAAGTTTTTGGTTTTAAAATACCTATTTGAATCATAGTAATATTTATAAAGGTTAATCTAAGTAACTCTATATTTATTTTATGACTCGGTAACCATGATTAATCCAATTGCCAATCGCTTGAGTTTAGCAATACCTAGCTCCCTAATTAGTTGATAGATTGATAGAAATAATTCTTTTAAAAACAAAGTTTCACAAAGCCGACTACAACCCCTCTTTTTTGAAGTCGGTTAATTAATTATTTAACTGTAACAAACACTATTCTGAAAACCGCATCAAAATCGGTTCGGGTAATCACAAGATAATCGCGTAAAAACATACATACATACTCAACTCAAATCATATTGAGGAGCAACTGGGATGATGACAGGGTATGAAAATTAAAAATGTAATTAGTCCGTAAGTTAGGTAATAAAAAATGTAAGACACGTATTTTTTTATTTTGTTGCATAATAAAACTAGCGACCCGCCCCGGCTTCGCACGGATGCATTATACATATAAACATTCCTTAGGAATCACTCTATCTATTAAAAAAAACTGCATCAAAATCCGGTGGGTAGTTTCAAAGTTCTAAGCATACATAGAGACAGACAGACGGCGGATAGCGACTTTGTTTTATAATATGTTTAGGAGTGGGAGCTAAAACGTCATTTCTACGTATAAAATGCTGCATACAAAGAAGTGACGTCACGTGACATTTCAAATCAATATATCGTCGAAAGTATTCGTTTCTGTAAGAAAATAAAAAAATACGTGTCTAATGATTTAAAATAATCTACCAGACGGACATTAAAATAAAAATTAGGCATCTACCTTATTGTTTTTGAAATTTAAAAACATCCTCCCTCTTATTTTTGGAGTATTACGTAATAAAAATATGTGATGATTATTATGTGTTTAGATTAACATTTTTATCATCCGTTTTCCAATTTACTTTTCGACTCATCTCTCTTACACAATAACAATATAAAGTTTAATACAACTCGCGAATCTAAATATAAATCTCTATACATAAAATAATCTTAGATAGTTCCAAATATAAAGTGTTGACTGAACAGACAGAAGATATTTTGAGACTATGAATTAAATAGCAGTTGTTTACCGCCCACCCACGTGTTCCGCTGTTCGTTAAAAAGTCATGATAATTTACGCACCCTGTACAATGAATGAGTCTACAGGGGCTATTATTTTTGCTACGATGCAAAGCTATTGATAAAGGTATGATCATATAATTCACTGTAAATATAATATCATGAAATGAGAATGAGACTAATGCCATAATTGTGATCTATTACATAATGTTGTATTTTCTCTTCGATAAGGAAATCGGAATCGCTTTTTTTTAGTATGAGCCGGTAAACGAGCAGACAGATCACCTGATGGTAAGCAATCGGCGTGGCCAAGTCTACCCGATACATCAGAGGCATTTACAAGTGCATTAGCGGCCTTTTGGGGATTAGGATTGTTGGGATTCAGAGATTGGAGAGATTGGAGAGGGGGGTAATTGTGCCTCCGGTAACCCCACTTAGACGCCAAAACACAACGCAAGAGTTGTTTCACGTCCGTTTTATGGGAGGCCGTGGTATCACTCTGGTCAAGGCGGCCCATTCGCGTTATGGCTCTCCCACACGTAAAATCGATTTAGAGCAGATTTATGAATTCAAATGATCCAATAGAAATCGTTCATAATTATTGTTCATATCATCCATACGCCAATAGTAAATCTAATAACGACACGTTGCCAATCGATATAAAAAAAACCAGCAAACGATGTAAATCCCTTAAAGCCCCAATGCATTTCTTATATAGTCCACT